TAGTGGCTAAAACAAAGAAACTGAATTTACCATTACAGTACATAACTTCAAACATCACACTGTAGCAACAAGAAGAAACACTGATTTTGACTTAGTTACAATAATTCTGTACATAGATAGAAAAACTTGTCTCGTACATTGTGAGATGTTCATGGGTGCGTATGTCAAACAACAACACAGCCTGAACTTTTGTCTTTGATCCTTTTTGCCACAAGTCTTTGTCCCAGTCCTCCTCCTCCTCCTCCTCCTCCTGTGAAGTCCCCTCTCAAAAATATCCTCTCTTGGCTTTTCTCTAAAGGGCAGCATGCCATCCGCTCTTTGCCATGTAATCCCATTGCTGGGACTGAGTTTGCTTCAGACTTTACAGCAGCGTCAGCCTCCTCCTCATGGAATAGGTGTAAACTGTGACTCAGAGAGTGGAGCAGAGAGCTCAGTCTGGTGCTTTTTATGTGTTTCTGCATTAGACGACCCCTTCAACAGATGCCCTCCGTCCCAGCCTCCGCCTCCTCCCCCACCGGCACGGCACAGCTTCACGGACCTCTCCTCCTCCTCCTCCTCCTCCTCCTCCTCGCCATCCCCATCCTGCAACTCCTCCATGTCCTCCTCCTCTGTCATCACACGACCGCACAGGCCCTCCTCCGGACAGGAGCACCTGCTGTTAACTCCCGGTGAGCTGTAAATATATAGTCAGTTTACTCCGTGATACAAAAAGAAAGAAAGAAAGAAAGAAAGAAAGGTTGGGAGGTTGGGAACCACTGATTTACAGCATTACTTTGTTGACTGACAGATAGCAACAGACTTGTTTACCTGAATTTCTCTGTTTGATCTGTGTTCTAGACACAGTGTTTGACATGCTGAACAGTGCTGCTCCTCTGCCTCCAGTCAGACGACACACAGAAAATGTTAAAGGCTCCAGAGGCTGCCTGGAGTACGACCATTTACCAAGTCAAGGTAGAGGAAATTTACGCATATAGTTTCTACAAACAAAAACATGTCCAGGGGCCAGATGCTTAAAACTCATCACATGAACCTACAAACAGTAGCACTGTGATATATCTATCATCATTATTAATTGTCAGAAAGATGATCAGTGATTCCTTTATAGAGCTCATATTGAAACAGACTTTACAAAGTGCTTCTCAGTTCAACATAAAATGAAAATATTGGTAGAGAGAAATAATGGCACAAATATAAAAAAAGACTGATAGAATTCACCAGTGGTAAATCATTTAAAATGACAGAATGCTATGTAAACAGCAGGAATAATAATACAATACAAACTATATGGTTACATCTTTTATATTTAATCTGTGCCTCATCATGTCACCCACAGCTATCAGAAGGAAGCAGTGTGTACGTCTGAAGTATTTGTGGGGTCTGCACATCCTTCTTTTATAAATACCAGTTTCTGTGAGATGGCGTACGATTGGTTTTAGTGCATACATATAATTTATACGTCTGGCCTTAGGTCTCGATGAGAGTGTAAGTTTAACAAGACTTGTGATACACACATGACTTCATGTTCTCTGTGTTTTCGACCTCAAATATTCTGACTGGACATGTGACCAAAAAAAAAGATTAAAACCTCTAGGATAAAAAAAGCCTTTGAAATTTAAATTGCACAGGGATCCCTTTATTCAATCAATGAAGAAGGGATTTTTGGTAGAAAAGTTACTCAGAGAAAAAAACTCCCCCTCTGTTGAAAGATTCATGTGCATCTCGCGGGCTTGGAGAGTCTCATCAATGGGAAGAACGGGAAGTTGTGAGCAGCTCTTTGGATGATGACCGAGGATTCACTTTGTGCAGACATTAAAAGTTTGTCTTAAATTCCACATCAGCTTCATTGTGTTTGGTTTCAGGAGCTTTTATTTGTGCCCTGTTTCTCATAAAGCAGGCAGACCACATTTTGGCCTCTCTGGCATCCATTGAGGAGCAGGACATCAAAGACATATGTGCAGTGAATACCTCAATATCTGCTTTCTAACTATGAAAGACTTAATGATAAAGGTCCGACCTCGGAAGGCACTGGGGAAAATGTCAGAGCTTTAGTTCAAATTGACAAGCTGTGTGTAGTCTACAAACCTCTCCTTGACCACTAATAACACTCTCAAGTTTCTGCCTGTGTGCCAGGGACAGTTTTCCACTGACACCATCTCTCTCTCTTTCTCTCTGCAAGTATCGATGGACTGTTTGCAGGCCCCCGCCAGGCCGCCCAAGCCGCTACCCAGGAAGATCCCTCCGGACAGTCAGCCAGGTAAAACCCACAGCCTAGAGTTGGAGAACGTGGACGCCAAGATCGCCAAGTTGATGGGGGAGGGTTACACTTTTGAGGACGTGAAGCGGGCACTGATGATCGCCCAGTACAAAGTGGACGTGGCCCGAAACATTCTGCGAGAGTTTGCCTTAGTGGCCCCAAGACTGAACCTCTAGTCAGTGAAACGGGGAGCACAACAATGGAGCTGTGCCTCTGAAGGGACTGACTAAAAAATAAAGGGCTTCTTCAGTCCACTTGGCCTCGGACTGTTGGAACAACAATGATCAGCAGAAATATTTAAAGGGAGACTTGCCTTTTGTTGCAGAACAGACATGACGACGCACAACAAAGTGGCTAAAACCAAATCATCTCGGAGAATCAAAGAAAAGGGAGAAAAGACCGTCTGTGAATGATTTAAACCTGTGAAAAAAAGAAGCAGGCTTGTTGTTTACAGTGAGCTTTGCCGGTGCTGGCCTCTGGTTTTCAAATGCTCCTGTTTGTCCCGGGGCTGGGACTGTACACCTGTTTTAAAGCTCTGATCCTGCTACTGCTGCTACTGTTCCTTTCACACCCTGCCACCCTCCGGACTTCAGTCTGAAGGGCCTTTCAGAAGACATTTCCAGCTCATTTCAGTTTATATGCTCAACCAGTTGTTAGGGCTCATTTTTATTTACAACCAGCAGGGGGAGGCAGACTCCACCGTTTCCGCACTCCTTTCCTGTTTTACCCACTTCCTCCTTCCCTTTTGTGTTGCCCATTAAAGAATAGTCCACTGTTTGCCCAGAGTCTGGCTGACTTGCAGGTCTTAACAAGGTCTGGAGAGTCAGGAGTAGTTACATGGTGCCGGAGGATGCCTTATTGATTCACTTGTTTCGCCTAGACCTGGATAAAAACTGTACAACAGCTCCAGAGGAGCATTCTTGTTAGACTAGGTATCTTATTTGGACAGGAAGAGTGGAGCAGGGAGGGGTAGGGGGGTTAGTTTCACTCTTAGTTTCTGTTCCTAGACAAGAGGATTAATCAGATGGGGCCTTTTTTTAATTACTTCCTTCATCTGTGGACAGCAGGCCTATGAATGTATTTGTTCTGCATGAGTGAGCTATACCTTTCTATACTCTGAGCTCCTCTCAGGCCCAGGTTTTCCATTAAGCGATTAAGCAGTGAAAAATGTTTTAATGTTTGTTTTTCCATGTCAAAAGCCAGAGACAAACGTGCCTGTACTTCAGCTCAAGGATTTAAGCGACGGGAGCGAGCCTGTTATGTAGAAGTCATCTGTTAGAGCTCAGAGAGGACGCACTCTATAGCCGTCACACTGTCTCCACTTCAATTACACAGCCATCATATTGTTGAAGTCCACATTCCCCACATGTTTTAGGAATTGCTTTCAGTCTGATTTGGAGTGGTGCATTTTCGCCTGTGTGGCGTTGTGTGAGTGCAGTAGAGACAAATAGAATACCGCATAGCATTCAAAATAC